GGGGATTTCACCCTATAGCTACGGATTCAGTCTACAAAGGAAACAATGCTGAGTGATGCATTTGTACATTCAAGTTTGGGCAGCAGTGCTAGTGAGAAATAGCAGCATGGCTTTGGTCCTCTTTTGTTGTTTTAGGAACATTTGTTTCATCCTTCTTTTCTTGAGGATCCCCCCCAATATACAATTAAAAAAAAAAAAGTTTGCCAGAAGGCACATGCACTCCCTGGAGAGAGAGAAAGCAAGAAAGCGACCGCCCCTACCCCCCACCCCCCACAACGTGGAATAGCCACGCTGCAATTTCTTCCCCTCTACTTCTCTCTCCTTTTGGGATTTTGGGCACATACACACATGCACCCAGCACCTTTCTCCAGATTCCAGGTCTGGGGCTTGAACCAGGCAGTCAATCATGTAGGATCCAGCTGCCTCAACCCCCAGGCTACAGGGTAATTTTTTTTTTTTTTTAAATATAAGAGCACAGTTGCAAATTTCTCTGCCCTTCTTAAAGTACAGAAAACCAAGATGAGCAGAGAGCTGGGGTCTTATTCATAACGAAGTCTTTTGTGCAGTTTCCTTATATGGCCCCAGGTGCCCTGGTGCAGCTGCTGATATTTAGTTACGTTCTGCACCAGCAATTCTAGCATTTGGGAAGTGAAATTCATTTTTCTGTCTCTGGATTACGAAATCCCGGGGCAAAGGAGGTGAAGAAAGCGGTGTGGGAGGAAATCAGTACTGGAAGTATCAGGTACAGCAGCGAGGTCAGAGCCATCTCTGTTTTAGGTGCTGGCATTTTGTTTAGGCCTTGACAACCTATCCCTCTAAGTGCAGATGGCAGAATATCTTCAATAAGACCACAAACAAAGGTTTGTAGTTTGAAAGGCTCAACATTTAACTCACAAGTTCTTATATTGAGTTACATCCCAAACAGGGGTTAGGTTCTCTTTGGAATAATTAAGATTCAGAAATGTTCAGTGAAGTCCTCCCAACTGCAATCTTTGGTCACTCATTAATTCTAGTTGTCCTGTTTAATAAGGGAACTACAGCCCCTGTTTTACCCTACATCAAGGTATGATTGTCATTTAGTCAAACAATAAAGCGAGTCACTTTCTCAGATCCTAGATCTCTTTTAACAAACCTCTTCCGCTCCTTGTTGTACCATTAAGAATAAAGACCCACTTCCGCCATCGAACAGAGACAAAACTACTCAAAGAGAGCAATGAATTTGCACATACTGGGAAAGTCTAGGGAGTTTAAAGGATGTGGGTGACTACTGAAGCGAACTATTTATTCTTGCAAAGATGCAGAATTGTGCTATATAATGTTTGCATTTAGGAAAATTCATTAGGATCCTAAGTCATGGGTTAGAAATACAATTAAACTGATTAGTGTCATAGGATAAAAAGAAAAAGCGAGGCTTATGACAGCGGCCCATGTCACCCTTCCCCCTCCCCAGAAAGGTTCTTAAGGGAACATTTAAAACATAAGCCTTTGTTCCTTCAATCTATGGTGCTCAGGTCAGGTGGACCCTGCGGTGTGGCTGAAATATTTCAAACAGTCACTCACAAATGTGTCATTTGACCTGCTGTTCTTCCAAAGAGGTATGAAAAATGTGTTTCTTGCTGAGATAACTTGAAATCAAATAAACATAATCTCTTTAATTCTTTCTAAATAGTTCCATATTTTAAGTCTAAACACAATGGAACACAAAGCTTCTGGCTTTTAAAAAAGTTTTTTTTATTTATTTTTTATGTATGTGGTGGTGTTGAATATTTTTTCCCAGTTTGTGTTGGTTTGATTTTTAAGAGTATAATTTATATTTAAAGCCAAGGAAATCTATTTCCTTCAATTTAGAGATAACCACACAAAAGACGGTAACGTTGTTATTTGGCTAAGTGTATATGTGCTTTTTAAAAATTACTATCTTTCAGCAAGGACTGAGTTGTTTATATTAACCATTACTTAATAGACCAGAGGTGCTTTCACCAAGGCTTATGACAGATTGAACAATACTTCCTTATGTAAAATTGGTTCTGGTCCATTGTTTTTATTTATCTGAAATAATGGTACTCACTCAAGTTTGTAATAACACTGTCATGGCTGAAGGGCGTTTGCTTTAGGTATTATATCTATTATCTGCTTCCTCTCCCTTCTTTAAACAGAATCTCCAAGGAGAAAGTCTGAATGTGGCTCAGATTTAAAAAGTAGAAAAAAGCAAAAGCTTTCCTAAAACCTCACTGCGTAGAACGGCGTTTTAGATCGTCTTCAGATCTCTGATAATTCTTGTTTGTTTGCCCTTGGCATTGTGCACCGGAGAGAAAGGTCTTACCTGGTTCTTAGAAGGAAATGATGAGGCCGGGAGTCATCACACAGGTTCTGTTAATTGCCTTTGCTGTTCTGTGAGGAGAGCCAAAATCGTCTTTTACCCAAACAAGGAGTATTTCTCCCACCTTTCCAGCAGTGGCCAAGTTGAGTACTTTGGAAGTGTTTGCTTTTCTTCACCACCACTAGAGTATGCTCTAGTGCCGTAAGATTCAGAATGTTTTCCTTCAGATGGATAAAAGGCTAGGGGAAAAAGTTTCCATCTAATTACAGAAGTGACTTGTTTTTGTTTTTGTTTTTAAGGTTTTTGCCATAGGATATTCACCAGAGAGAGAGAGATGAAATGTGAGAAATCACTTCCCCGGAGGATGGCCACGCTGCAGTCCCTTCTCCTTCATTCTCCTCCTAGGATTTTGGGCATGCCCACACATGTGCCTGGTGTGATTTTCAAGCTGCCAGGTCTGAGACTTGAACTGGTCAACCATGTGGGAGTCTAGCACCTTCACCACCATGCTACCTGCTGGCCCCCAGAAGTGGTTGTTTAATTGTGTTGGTAAGACTGAGTTGTGTTTGTCCATGTGATTAAGGTAGCACTGAAGGCTTTAGCTTCAATAGTCATGCATGACAATATTTTAAGGAAATTCATTTTTTTCTATTTGAATTAGCTCTGTTAACTCTGGTAAGATGATGAGAAATACTATCTCTGCTCCTTCCACAAGCTTTTATATATTTCAGCAATAACTCCTTCACTTTATTTATAAAATGAATATCCCCCTGGTCCTACCACACAGATATATAGTAGGGTTACTCAACAGTATTAACCCCCCTTTTTTTTTTTTGAGAGAGAGATTTTAGCTATAGGGTGCATGCGCTCGCCGGACAGACAGAGAGAGACATAGAGACAGAAAGCGAGAAATCACCCCCCAGGGGGGATGGTCACGCCGAAATCCCTTCTCCTCCATTCTCCTCTCGGGATCTTGGGCACGCACGCACACGCGTCCGGCGTGAGTTTTAAGGCACCGGGTTCAGGATACGAACCGCGGTCAACTATGTGGGAGTCCAGCGACATAGCCATTACGCTAACTGCTGGTTCTCAACAGTATTAACCCTTTTGAAGAGAGGAAGTCTGCAAGCAAAAATGTATCTCCCATTTATGTTCAGCACCACAATCTATTTTTTTTAAATCCCAACCACCATCTGAGTGGCTGACCTTCATCAATGAAAACATTCTCCAGATGAGAAGGTTCATCTTCGTGTCTGTTGCCCTCGTCTCGGATTCTAGGCAGAAGACCCCTTGCTCAATCTCAGAGGCAGAAAGAGCACGAAAGCACACGGCTGGGGTCTCCACTGAGGCTGGTCACAGGAGGACAGCACTGTGCTCGTCGATGTGATTTCAGCATCTCTTAGCAGTACCTTTGCTTCCTTTGTCCTCTATTAGCCCACGGCATACCTTCCATCTTTATTTTGCATGAGGAGAACGTGGCTACTCACTCTCTCCAGCCACTCTGGTCTTCCCCTGCTCCTAACGTCCTGTGTTCCTGGTCCTTCTGATGGCTTCAGACCCAAATGACTTTCTCCCCCAGGGTGTCAGTCATAGTTGTTCCAGCAAAGCCTGAAACCAGGTCCTTGTGGCTAAGACTGTTTGTCTCTCTAGATGCCCATGACTCTCTGCTAGGGGTTCAGTTATCACCACCTGTGGGGCTCACATGCTCCTTCTGATCAGCTTTTACAAGAGTATGGAACTAGGTCTGTCTGGGAAGATGGGAACCAAGCTCACACATCAGCTCTGGCTACCCCAAAACACACTGGTCATAGAGGGACCTAGCCCAGAGGGCAGGCTGTGGTGGCCCAGGGTGCCAGGCTTCCTTTGTGCCTGGCCTGACCTGGAGGGAACCCCCACAGGTATCCAAGTACTTGATGCTCACCTATTCCTATGAACTCAAGTTGGATTTAGAGTAGATGGCATTCTAGCCTACCCTTTGCAACAGGGCAGGATGGTGGTGAGTGCTCTTTAGCTGAAGGTTTCTCTTTCATAACATAGGCCCAAAGGGAAATATAGACCTTTCCCTCCAATAATCTCCATTTAGCCCCTTTCAAATCCATGCCAAATAAAATCAGATTCTAAATAAATGTAGACACTGGCTATGGAAGTGAAGCTTTAAGCCAAGTGCTACAATGAGTGACCTTTGCAATTCCAGAGTCCCACCCACAGGGATGCTGGGAGTCATCATTTATTTGTTGCGATGAAGACCCCACTCTAAGCTCCTGAGCAGTCAGAGCTTCAGACTCTTCTTCCAGGAACTTAGAGGAGACAGGCCCTGTTGGACTCTGAGTCTCCTGGGGGAAATGAGCACACTCTGTCTTATCCTGATATCCTATCAGGACCGAGGGCCCCTCCAGATTCCAGGTCTTGTGGACCTCAGAGTGAGAATACCCATGATGAGCCCTGTGTGAGAACAAAGCTCTCTCACCGACTCTCTTCTTGTTCTCTTTTTTTGGAGCGGTTTTTGCTATAGGGTGCGTGCACTCGCCAGAAAGACAGAGAGAGACAGAGAGACAGAAAGCAAGAAATCACCCCCCGGGGGGATGGCCACGCCACAATCTCTTTTTCTCCAATCTCCTCTCAGGATCTTGGGCAAGCATGCCCATGCACCTGGCGTGAGTTTAAGTCACAGGGTCCGGGACTTGAACTGTGGTTGACTACAAGGGAGTCCAGCGACATAGCCATTATGCTAACTGCTAGCCCCTCTTCTTGTTCTATTGAAGTTTCTTATGCCTCTGTGCTTGTGACTGAAGACGCTCTGGGAAGAAAACCCCAGTATCTGCTCTTCTCACTCAGGCGGTGGGGAGACATCCTGTACGGAAAGAGGATAGACCCTGAGATCAGTAGATGGCATAACGGTCATGTCACTGGGCTCCTACGTGGCCGACTGCAGTTTGAGCCCAGGACTGGGAGGATTGGCACTAATATAGCACATGTGTGCGTGTGTGCCCAGGATCCCGAGAGGAGAATGGAGGAGAAGGGATTGCGGTGTGGCCATCCCACCACAATGGTGATTTTTCACTTTCTGTCTGTTTTCTCTCTGTGTCTTTGGTGAACACACATACCCTATAGCAAAAGTCTCTCTTAAAAAAAAAAAAATCACAGCCCCCACATTTCTCAGCCTGTTAATTTTGTGACCCAGAACATTTACTCAACTTTCTGTGTCTCAGTCTTTTTTGTCAAATAGAGGTGATATCAGAAACCAGGTCTAGGGAGCATACTGCACTCCAACAGTGCTATTAAGTCAGGCTGCAAATTAGTCAGCTAGATATCCAAACTGATCAGTTCCTCTAAAGATGGTTTGCTCAATCATAGTTGTCAAAACCTCCTTAAAATGAAGTAGTATATTATTTCTTTTAGGGTATATATTATTTACCAAACAAACTGTACTTTTAAAGTGACAAAGGTTTCACAGAATTGAAAAGAAAAAAATTCTGTGATTCATATGCATGTAAGTGGTAAGTTTCCCTACCACAAGACTGAGTTCTAACCATCGATCATATCAAGATATATTGGTTGGTTTTAGTTGCAGTTATTTAACTGACTTATTAAATATACTGGGGGAGAAGTTAGAGGTATAAAAAGTTTCAAAATATTTGCTCCAATTTTTTAGCCACCCACATTCCATGTGGGGATAGAACCACATGCCTAGGAGTTGTAGAGAGTTTGTTAAATAGAATTTATCGTGCATAATTATGATTACTCAGTTTGTGATGTTAATACTATTTGACAACCTCATATCAAAATAAAAATACTCTTATATTACTCTCAAATTATCACCTCCCCCAAAGTATTTACCCACTCAGTGTAGTGACAGGAATGTAGAACATTGTAGGAAGGCCATTAGACTGAAGCCCAGTTCCAGTCCTGCCATCAAAGAGCTGCATGGCTCTGAGTGAGACCTTTTAGCTCCCTGGTGTTGCCTTCCTATGACACAAAGGGCTGGAACTTTAAATCATGGGCCCCAGATCAAGCTAATGACCAAAATCACCTGAGAGGCTCTGAAAATGTGTAGGCACCCAGGTTTTACCAGGAACTAGTATGATGGTTAGCATCTCCAGTTCGGGCCCAGGAATGCACATTAAAAAAAAACATAAACAAACAAATGAACAAAAAACACCATGAGGAACCAGCAGTTAGTGTAATGGCTATGTCGCTGGACTCCCATGTAGACGACTGTTGTTCGTGTTCTGGACCCAGTGGCTTAAACTCATGCCAGGCGCATGCGCGTGTGTGCCCAAGATCCCGAGAGAAGAATGGAGGAGAGGGGATGACGGCATGGCCATACCCCCTGGGGGGTGATTTCTTGCTTTCTGTCTCTCTGTCTCTCTCTTTCTGGCGAGTGCACGCGCCCTATAGCAAAAATCTCTCAAAAAAAAATAACAAAAAAAAAAACCCTCCATGAAATGTTTCTGAAGCTCTGTCAAGTTTAAGAAATACCAAGTTAGAACTACTAAATGGCCTTTCTTTAACATGCCTCTTTTCTCACTCTCCTTAAAAATTATCTCTCAAAAGCTCTCAAATTATCACTGCCCACTTCCATCCCTCCTTTCTTCTTCCTTGCGCTGCCGTGGAGCCATGTGAGAATGTGCTCTTTACATCTGCAGCCTCAAACAACCCCTCTGCTCCTTCTGTGTCCCGCCCTGTCTGGCTGCCCACAGCTCACTAATCCCCACAGCCGAATCCCCTTATCAGGATGAACCCAATCCCTTCCACCACTCCCCCCACCACCTTCACACAAGCACACATACAGTCTCTGAAGCCAACCCCAGCCCAACAAGAGCACTTACAAAACAAACTCAGGGACTCAGCATCAGATGGAGAGGTGCAAGATGAGATGGTATCCATCGAGGTTAATGTGCAAGCCCTCAATGAAAGCTGAGGATTTGAACTCCTGCTCTGCCACTCACTGGCTATATGACTTGAGCAAATCACGTAATTTTTCTATGGCTCTCTTTCCTCATCTGTAAGACAGGAATAAAAATTATTTCCATCTCACAAGGCTGCTGGGAATGTAGAATGAGATTGTGCTTAGCAGCTAATAGTTACCTCGCAGTAGGCAGTTTTCTAAGCATCGCACACATATCAACCCATTTCTCTGGTAGAGGGTCTCAAACCCAAGCAGGCAGACAGGTTCAGAATCTATAGTCTCATCTTCTACTATAACTTATGTAACATGCTTGGTAAAGTGCCTGGCATATGGTAGGAATTTAATAAATATCCATTTAAAGAGAATCTGTCCATGTAGTTGTCCTGGTTTTTACTTAGGATTCAGAAATCGGAGGCTCCTGCTTTATACATTATGATTTTTTCCCCTGCCCCCCCCTTTATTTTTAAAGGCCATAAGGTGCATGTTTGCACATGAGAGAGAGAGAGAGAGAATCCCCCAGCGGGACCTGGTCACATGCTCAAGTCTTTTTCCCTCCAATTCTCCATCCCTTCGGGGTACTTGGCATATGTACACAAACTGGAACTCAAACCCTGGTCAGCCATGGGGAATCTGGCTTCCTCTGCTGCACTCCAGGGCCAAATCATTGTGAGTATTCAGGTGGGCTCTGAAGTGTCCCCTTCTTAAAAATATTTATTTAATTTTATTGATTATTATTATTTTAATTTGGCATGCTCACCAGAGATATATAGAGAGAAAGTGAGAAAGCAAGCTATCAGGTCTAGAACTCAAACCACAGGCAGCCATGTGAAAGTCCAGCACCTTAACCACCATGCCACCTGCTGACCCCAGGTACTCTGTCATTCCACTTGTCTAGTTATCCACTTCCCCCAAGACTTAGGTTCTTCTTTCTCTTATTTCAGCTATATCCTAAGAGCTGGTCTCATGTGGAGTTTTCCTTCCCCACCTTTATATCTTATAGCTGCCTTTCTACCCTGGCCTCTGAATCACCATGAGAAGGACATGGTTGTTCTTGCTTGATGGAAGATGAGAGATATATGGAGGAAAATTCCTCCCAGCAAGGACATCCTAGACCAGCTGGTAACCAGCCAACCTCAGGCAGGTGAGCAAGTTCAGCCAAGATCAGGAGAATTAACTTGCCAGTTTCCCCAGAAGAGTGAAAAACAATAAACCCTTACTGTTGCATGTCACTGGGTTTTGTACTTTTTCCCCCCCACAGCATTATTAAAGCAATATATAACTAGTGTATAAATGTTCATTGATAGCACATGAATACATCAATAAAAATCAGAGGAAGCTTCTGCACAAGAAGAGTCTAGATTCTTCTCTTGGTCTGTAGAATTCTGTATATTCTAGAAGAAGAAATGTTATAAATTAAGGGAGATTTAAGAGACATAGGAACCAAAAGCCATGTCTTCATTTAATATGAACCTTAATTCAAATAAACCTGCCATACAAAATATTTCTGAAATAATGAGGTATATTTAACACTCGCAGGAGAGTAATATAAGAAATTATTAATTTGTAGATGTTATAATGGGAATATAGTTATGCTTAGAAAAAAGAGATGATATCTCTGAAAGATACATACTGAAACATCTATGGATGAAATGATGTGATGTCCTGAATTTTCTTTAAAATTATCCAGTGAGGCAGAAAGTGAGGGAGGGTTATGAATGAAACAGGGCTGGCCATATATTAATAAAGTTCAGTGATGGGTATTAGAGGTTCATTATACTATTCTCTCTGTTTCTGTGTATGTTCGAAAATTCCCATGTTAAAAATAAAGAGAAAAAGGAAGGAAAGAGAGGAGGAAAGGAAGGAAGAGAGAAGGAAAGAAAGTCTTACTTCAAAATTACACGTTCTATACATGCAAGTGCACTTTTTTTCATAATTTCATGTTTTTGAGTTATGGTTGCCATTTCCTTTCAGTTAAAAAAATTCTTTAACTATTTATTAACTATTATTTTTTTTAATTAAAATAAAGAATTTATTTCACTTGTGTATTTTTGTCTCCTCACCATTTCCATGTCTGACCACCACTACTGCTGTGTCCTATCATAACATTCCACACATACTTAAAACCGAGCAAAGGGTCGAGTTCCATCTTAAAAACTAAACGGGCACATTGGACAATACATTCTTGACAATGAAACCTGGACAACACATACCAAACACAGTAGGGAAAATGTTCACTCTGCATTATAAAAAGGACAGCCAAGGGACCAGCAGTTGGCGTAATGGCTATGTCGCTGGACTCCCAAGTAGTTGACTGAGGTTTTGAGTCCCAGACTCGGTGGCTTAAACTCATGCTGGGCGCATGTGCGTGTGTGTGCCCAGGATCCCGAGAGGAGAAAGGAGGAGGGGGATTTCTCGCTTTCTGTCTCTCTGTTTCTCTCTGTCTTTCTGGTGAGAGCACATGCTCTATAGCAAAAATCTCTCAAAATAAAAAGGACAGCCAGATATCAACTGCTAGAGAAAAGAAATAAGACAGAAAATTTTAAAAAACTGTTGAAACTATTTTCTTAAAGAGACTTCCTCCACTGCCAGAGATTTTGAATAGCCTCCTGGTCAGTCATCTGGAAGCAATACTTAATGGAACTGATGAACTTAGATTCCACTTTGGAAAGAGAACCACCTTTTTTTATACTTGCCTGCATTTTTGCTTTAATGTCTTCTACAGAACAAAGTCCTTTTTGTGTTTTAGGAGTTTTTCGTTTGTTTGTTTGTTTGTTTTAATGATTCTTGACCTTTTGATCTTGGTGTTGATGATTTTTAGGTCTTTTCCATTCTGGTTTGATTTTTGAGCATTTTTGTCAAGACTATCTTGTATAGATTTCTTCAATGGAGACTTTTCTTCTGTCCCCTCATAGCCACAATCATCATCATCATCATCATCACCATTGTCTTCATCAGCAGCAAGTTTTACTTTTTTCTGTGAAAACTTGCTACCACCTCCGGGGACAGATTGCTTTCCAAATAACTTAAGAGTTTCACATCCTCTTCCTATTCCAACTCTATATCTTCCTCCACAGCTACTATATTCTTCCACTAATATTCACAGGCCCTGAATTACACTTCAACCTTAAGACCACAGGTGGTGCTATTTCAAAACCTCTAAGGGAAATGGCTGGCTGTACAGACATTTTCAATGTTGCTAGTGTTACTTTAATTGGACTGCCTTCTTGCCTCTGCTTCAACAATGTGCAATTCACCCTTTACACCAGCCCTTAAACTGGCTGTTCTTAAATATAACTGGTGTTCATTTTCATCATTATCCACCATAAAGTGGTAAACATTTTGGCCTTTAGTTCACAACTGAAAACATAGTTCTGGTGCCTCAGGAAGCTCATGTCCATTGAATCATTGAAGGGGTGGGAGAGAAGACAGACAGAGGTAAATGACTACAGCCTCCAAAAACAGCTGTGCAGAGAGAGATAGAGAGAGGGAAAGTGAGAGAGAGAGGGAAAGCTAGAGAGAAAGTGAGAGAGAGAGGGAAAGTGAGAAAGTAAGCTGCCAGGACCAGGACTCAAACCGCAGTCAGCCATGTGGGAGTTCAGTGCCTTAACCACCATGCAACCTGTTGGCCCTGACATTTTCTTTTTAATGTCTTGAGGATCACTATGTTGTATTTCTTTTCTCAGGTGTGGATTATCTTATTTGTTAGCACAGTTGACTCTGTTTATGACTTTTGACCTTCACTGGTCATGAGATTACTGCCTCCATGCTTATTTTCTTCTATAATTTATTCCCACATATACCCTCAACATTAAACCCTCAACACCACAACACTAAAGGATGTACAACTTTAAATTAGATCTTACCTTAACAGCTCAGCTTTGGGTTCTCATTTTAAATGACACTGCATGGGAAATTGCAAATTCTGATCTCATTTTGTGATTCATCCTTTGTTCCTGGAAGTTTGTGCTGAAGAGGAGAAGATAAATCTAAATAAAATTCTATACCCAGCTAAATCATCATTCAGAACCAGATTGAAAGAAAAGACAAGTTCAGACATTCAGAGATTAAGAAACTACAAAAGGATGTATTTCAGACAAAAATAAACAATGAGTTCAGAAAATAGTGGCAGGGGGAACCAGCAGTTAGCGTAATGACTATGTCGCTGGACTCCCACGTAGTTGACCACGGTTCGCATCCTGGACCCGGTAGCTTAAAACTCACGATGGGCGCGTGTGCGTGCGTGCCCAATATCCCGAGAAGAGAATGGAGGAGAAGGGATTGCGGTGTGACCATCCCCCCTGGGGGGTGATTTCTCGCTTTCTGTCTCTATATCTCTCTCTGTCTCTCTGGCAAGCGCATGCACCCTATAGCAAAAAACCTCTCCAAAAAAAAAGAAAAAGAAAATAGTGGCAGGATGAAAAAAGTAATAGTGAGGGGAAAATTACATTAGTAAACCTAAGTATTATCTGAAAAAGTACTATATTTAAATATGACTACAATAATGAATAATTTTTCTTCATCTCCAATACCATTACTGTGGCAGAAATAAAGTCAGCTCTCACTAAGGTTACTGCTGTGGTTTCTTCTAGCCACTTTCCCTGCCTTGATCCTTTTTTTTTTTAAATTTTGCCAGAGGGTATATGAGAAAGAGAGAGAGAAAGAGAAAAGAAGAAAGTGCCCCACATTGGTGCTCAAATTTTCCTTCCTTTTGGGATTTCGTACAAGCATACATGTGCCTGGCATGTTTCTCAAGCTGTTGAGTCCCATCATTAGGGCACCCTCATCCTTCAGAGGAAGGCCAGTTTTCCACTGGGCCCTGTTCCATGAGACATAAGATTCTTTTCCCCCCCTTGTCTTACTTCTAAGACCCAGACAGAAGAAAGATATCTTAGGAAGATAAAATTTAACCATGATACACTTCCTATGGATCATGAAAACACTATGTTGTTTTTTGGCTATCAAAACATTTTTGAGCCAATATTTGCCTTCTTCTAAACCTCAGTTATTAGTTGTAGCCATTTTCTAAAGGGAAAGAAAGCATCAGTTTTAGAAAATCCTTAAAATACAGTCTGACACCTATTTTACTTTTTTGTCCGTAACTTCCAGGATTAGACAGTCATCAGCAAACTGACACTTCTGTAACCGACATCCCCATCTTTGGTGTTTACTGTGGCTGACTCTAATCATAAGAATTTTAAATCAGTGAGAAGAGGAGAGCATGACAACATTGACTGGCCATAGGGTCTTGGGTTATTATTCTCAAATAGCACCATGTGGGAACTCCATTGCCTACACCCAAAGGACCACTACCTAGCACATAGTAGATAGACTTTAATTATATGTGGAATTGCAACTTGTGTCCATAAATATGAAACTCTTTAATTCATTTTATCAACTATTTTAAACTCACTAAGATGTTGTACGCCTATCCCCGGGTAATGTTTTCATCAGATCTTGACAGAATCAATACAGGAAACCTGAGATAGGAGAAAATGTGCTAGACTGGAAGTCCAGCACTATATCTGTGATCCAGAGCATATCAGTTCAGTTACATAGAAGGGCCTTTATTCTACTAAATACCCTGATAACTTGGGGTAAGCTAGCTTAGGAGTAGGTCCTAAAATAAGCTAAGAAGAGAAAATAACTTAAAGTTTGCAGAGATAAGCTTAGGAGAGGAAGTGATGAGGAGGAATACGGGCAGGAACCTAGGAAGGTGGTGGTGGTTTGAACTTTTCTTTCCATACTATTAGAACTCTGGCTGTTTAGCATTAGTGGATTTCTATGCACACTGAAGAAAGGGCTAAGTTTTCACTGATTGGAGAGCTAGAGGCAGAATGGAACATAACACCAAGATTTCCCACCCTGGAAATTCTGGGATAGGGTTTGGATGTCCACAGACCACATAATGAAGTTTTAATCTAAGTTTGAGCAAGTCGTTCAGGAGCTAGAAGCTTCCTAGATCACATCTAGATTACAAATGGATGGTTTGTATTTGTCATGTGTTTTCAGTTCTAACTAATAACCAATAAAATGAAAGCAGAAAAGTGTAAGTATTACTTGCCCTATTTTAAAATCATATTGTAGGGACCAGCAGGTGATGTGGTGGTTAAAGCACTGGACACTCCCACATGTTTGACCATGGTTCAAGTCCCGGACCTGATGGCTTACTTTCTCCTTTTTCACTTTCTCTCTCTCTTTCTGTTAATGTCTTTCTGGTCAAATTAAAATAAATGAATGAATAAATAAAATTTAAAAATCATATCATATAGTATTTCTTCTAATGTAAGATGACAGTAATGATAGATAAAACTTACTGTGACTCCCAATAAGCCAGGCTTGGTTCTGTTTTTGTTTTTTTTTTTTCTTTTTTGGAGAGGTTTTTGCTATAGGGCGCGTGCGCTTGCCAGACAGACAGAGAGAGACATAGAGACAGAAAGTGAGAAATCACCCCCAGGGGGGATGGTCACGCCGCAATCCCTTCTCCTCCATTCTCTTCTCGGGATCTTGGGCACGCATGCACACGCGCCCGGCGTGAGTTTTAAGCCACCAGGTCTGGGACGCGAACTGTGATCGACTACGTAGGAGTCCAGTGACATAGTCATTACGCTAACTGCTGGTTCCCATCCCAGGCTTGGTTCTTTTAATTATTTTATTTAATTTTCACACCAAACTTGTGAGGATGGCACTACTGATAGTCCCAATTTTCAGATAAGCAATATGAGGACAGAGAGATTAAGAAACTTGTCAAGATCACAGATAATTAGTAGATTCAGCTTTTGAGCATAGGCTGCTTCCTGAACTACTATGAAAATGCTTAATATAATGTTTTATAATTCTAAATCATCTTGTATAATTATAAGTCTCTCAAATTTCCTTTGTCATTTGGTTTATATTTTGGGTCTGAGTTGAGGAGACTTTCCTTAGAGTGGATGGGTTGGATTTTAACACAGAAACATAGGCAAAGATTTTCACCATAGTTTATGAACATTTATTTCTCTATTGTATATAAAATAATATGTATAAATTGAAATAGAATGGCTTAGAGAATTTTTAAAAGGTAACTCTGGTTCATCAGGTGGCATGGCTCATCTTGTGGTTAATCTGGCTCATCCTGTATGGTAACTGTTTAGTTCAAGTCCCAGACCTGGTATCTCAAAAGACATGCCTGGTTTTACAAGTGAAATGATAAATAGTGACTGAATGTTTAAAAAAATAATTGGAATAATAATAATAATCTGGAAAAAACAATGAAAAGCTATTGGATGATGATGATGGGAAGTTTAATGTCTTTGTATTGAGTGATATGCATGGTATTCCTTCTGGAAAAAAATGTAATACACTGTAAGTTATATGTGATTCAATGTAATATAAACAAGATCATGATAATAATAAATAAATGTTTAAAAAAGACATGCCTGGTACAGGTGTATGTGTGTACTAAGAGGAGGATGAACAAGATGGAAATGTAGCATGGCCATCCCATGGTGGGGTGGTTTCTCATTTTTTTCTCTCTGTCTCTCTCCAGTAAGAGCACATGTCTTACAGCAAATTTTTTAAAATGTAATTCAAGGTCCAACCATGTTAGCACAGCAGTAACACAATGCTCTGCAATGCTAGAGGCCAAATAGGTTCAGTTCCCGGGATGACCTGTACATGTCGGGCATGAGCATGTGTGTCCATGATCCTGGCTATCTGAAAGGCTTTGGCGGTGGGGATGGCAGCATGAAACTCTGTTGAAGGTACGCCTTTTGCCCAAGAAAAAATAAACATTAAAATAAAACAAAATGTAATTCAAATAGGAAACTACTGATGGTAGAACATTTATGTAGCTCCTACTAGTTCACACTTTTTATAGACATTATAAGCTCTAATTCAAAAAATATGTAGTTTCACTTTTTTCATTTTTTTATTCCTTTGCAAATATTTTCCTATCCTATCCTTTATCAAAGTAATACAGTGCCCATGGCAAAATATATAATGGTGCGGAGCAACTTATAATGAAAGCAATATTTTTCATCCTGCTTCTCCTCTCCACTGGTCTCCTTCCTCTGATTTTAGTTCCACTCATGATTACCTCCCTCCAGAATAGACTTCTTGCTCCATTTCTTGATTTATCGACTTGAGACTATCTATGGACTCCTTAGAGTCAGAATTTATTTCAACTATTCTCACCTCCACTCCTGATTTTAATAGTTGTTATTTTACATATTCTAAATTTGCTTTTATGCCTTGAAATAATGGTTTTTAAATTCATTTATCTTGGAAATCATGCAACTGATCCTGTTTCCATTTTGGTTGACTTTTAAGGCTCTCAGAGCCAAATGTGGGATTCACGGGACCACAGATCTATGTATTTACTTCCCCTCAATCTGATGCTCTATTTCTAGATGATGTGTTCTTTTGTCTCTGTGATAGTCTGTGGATGTGTCAACTTGGCTTAACTACATTCCCCACTTTTCCCATCAAGCACAAATCCTGGTGTAATTGTAAGGTATTTTGTAGATATGATTAAAGTTCATAATCAGTTGATGTGAAAACAGCGAGATTGTGCTACATAATCTTGACAGCTGAGCTGAGGGCTCCCTGAACAGAAAGAAATTCCACCTGTGGACAGCAGCTTTATCTCCTGGCCTACACTTGCAGCCTGCCCTTCTTGATGGCCTGTCCTATGGCTTCAGACTTGCTTCGCCAGCCCCACAATCACATCAGACAATTCCTTGCAGTAAATTCTAATACATATATATATATATAATATATATATATATATATATATATATATATATATATATATTATATCCCATTAGTTCTGTTTCTCATAAATGATTTATAAATGATTTATATTTGACTCATAAATGATTTATATTTCTTTTTACTTTATGGTTTGTATTATAGTAGTTATCTCTAAACTATTGTGGAATAAAGTAGAACATAAACAATAGGTAAATAAAATACGTTGTAAATTTTACTGGTCTGCCCCAGGATCAAGTTCAACCACCAGGAATTATCTAAAGGTCTCTCCCTCTCTCTCTCTCTCTCTCTCTCATATGCACACTGTCTAATATTTTCTATCTCAACCCTTCTCTTCTTTCCTCCTGGGTCCCATTCTCTTCAGTCCCCTGTACCTCCTTACATCGTCATTATCTCTGTTCAAATATTCCTTTAGATTACAAAAACCAAAAAGCCTCATTTGACATTTTAATCTCTGTAACTCTTCATCCTACTTCCCGCTTTTCCTTCACTACCAAACTTTTCTTCCATTTCACTTCTTAATCCACTGGTACCTGGTTTCCATATTTACTACCCTTACTACAACCGACCTCTTGGACTTCGAAGATTCACATAATCTCCAGGCCACCAAATCAAATTATGCAGTACCTGCTAACTGTATCCCAATATTAGTTTTTTTTTGAGAGAGAGTTTTGTTCTAGGGCACATGTGCACGCTGGAGAACTAGAGAGAGATAGTCAGAGAGTGAGAAATCACTCCCCAGAGGGGATGGCCACACCGCAATCCCTTCTCCTCCATTATCCTTTCGGGATTTTGGGCATGCACAAGTGCCTGGTACAAGCCCCAGGCTCTAGGACTCATACCACAGACAGCCATGTGGTGGTCCAGTGCCTTAACAATATGCCACCTGATGGCCCCAGTTCTCCCATTCATCCTTTGTAACAGACTCCTACACAGGCTGTCCACCTGAAAAGGTACATTTTCCAGCATTCTTTGCCCCAAGATGAACCTGTTACTCAACCGTGGCCAATAAGATGTAGCAGAATTGCAAAATGGCATTGCTAGAACACTCTTAAAGGATGGAACATGCCTTTCTCTTCCAATGTTTCTCCTTCCTTATGTACAGATGTAACATTTAGCACATTATCAGCCATCCTGGATCAGGAGATAACCTTGAAGATGCAAGCTGAGTGGAATGATGCAGAAAGATATAAAGACCTCAATTTTGTCCTAAGTGATATCAGGGAATTGCCACATCAATGTTAGGCTGACTTCTTCCAAACTTCTTACTGCTTTTACATGAAAAGTAAAAGCACTTTTACACAAGTGCTCGAATGTTTAAGCGACTATAGCTGAGTCTCTGTTAACAGTAGCTCAATGCAATCTCTAAGGGACACACCAATGACTTCTTGTTCATTCATTCATTCATTCCATAAATATTTGTTAGGCACCCATTTTGTGCCAGGCACTGTTTTAAATAAATCGTAAGATAAAGACAATGTCTGCCAAGTTGGAAAGCCTGTTTGGACAAAGAAACGGAGCTATCAGAAGACAGCATCTGGAGGTCTAATATAAGCAGGGCAGAGTACACAGGCCAGTGGCTTAAGGGAAAAACCAAGGGAGCATGCTGTCATAGAAATCCAGAGAAGAAAATGCTTTAGAGAGGAAGGAACAGTAGATACTGACTGAGAGGTAATGTCAGACACAAACAGAAAATAGCAGTTCTTTATCATCAAAGGAAATTATCAGTAAAACTAATGAAGCTTAAGTTTTTCTACCCCTCCTGTAGGCTCCTCCCAGTGCCTTGGGATAATTCTGTATCTGTAGTTTAGTATTTGGTGATTGAAGACAATTCTGCACGTTGAATAAATACAAGCCCCGTAAAACTGTAGATATACCCTTTATTTTCTCTTACCTGCCTGTGACACCCTGACTAATATGCTTCAGTGACATGATTCTTTCCTTAACTTCTTGTGACACCTATCTTTCATTAGCTATTCTCTCTTCTGCCATTCCCCAAATGGAGACATGGGCTATCATCAGACCTCAATCTTGTTCTCTTTATACTATACCTTGGTCAGCTTAGCCATTCATATTATCCAATGTGAACAACTCCCAACACCAATCTTTACCTTCCAAACATGGGCAAATAATTATTCTCTTTTATAACCTATCTTGAAAGTGACATCCTCCACTTTTGCCTTAATCTCTTGGTAGAAACAAGGCCTGAATGAGATCCAGCCCATGCATAGGAAGACAGGATCCCAGGGAGTGAATCCCAGGAGGCAGGTATCACTGGGAGCCATTTTAGAAGTCACTAACCACACATTATCTGCCCTCCGGGAACTCTTCGTCTAGCTGATACAGCATTGTGTAAGAACTTAGAAAAGACCAGGGTTCACTGGCACAATGACTGCTGTCCATGCATGTCACTCTACAGTTGAGAAACTGTGCTTCTATGAGACCGCACATACCACATTTGAGATGCTCACTCATTTGGGGATTCCACAGCGGTTGTCCATCTTCCCTCCCACTCTAGAATAACTGCTCTAGTAGTGTAAAATGTAAGCTTTAAAAGTTTATTAACTGCCCTACTATGTGATTGTTCAAAAGCCCCCACTCTTTTTTACATTCCAGCAAACTGTAAAATATGATGACTCCATTTCATTTCCCACTGTGTCATTAAAGCGCCACCAAAACACTCCTCTCGAAGTAAAAGACACCTTTATCACAGTATAAGTTATTTATTAATACAGAAACTCAAGTTTTTCAACACTTCTACAGTTTTTCTCATGCTATAGGGAAAAAATAGAATAGACAAATTGGCGTACTTTAATCTCTGAAAATTACTTAACACCTTAATAATTAACACATGGGGGTCCCGGTTCGAGTCCCGGACCCGGTGGCTTAAACTCACGACGGGCGTGTGTGCGTGTGTGCCCAAGATCCCAAGAGAAGAATGGAAAAGTAAGGACTGCGGCATAGCTATGCCCCCCCTGGGAGTGATTTCTCTCTCTCTGTCTCTCTGTCTCGGTCTTTCTGGGGAGCGCACGCCCCCTATATCAAAAACCTCTCCAAAAAAATTAACACACTGCTTTACAATGATAGTGGTAATGTAGTAAATAGTAACAGATACATAATCGCGATGAATGTTTTATTGCCTTCCCTTGCACGTACCGTACACACACTCTTCTGTTTAACACCGGTTGAGCTCCTGGTTAGCGATCTCGGTCCTTTTGTGCAGTTCCACCCCGCACCATAGGAGGCGGACGTGGCTTTTCCTCACGCGCGGTTTTCTATGCTGCTTTCGTCTCTGTCAGAACCGACCAAGTTAAGGAGAAGCGGGGGAGAGTAACCATAGAGACGGCAGGCCTGTGCCCAAGGTTGCTTCTTTAAAGGAACGCTCCCTTGTGATGAGTTACTTGAAAGCTCACGTCGTAAGTATGTGAGCGCCAACGCAGGTGCGCTGTCGGTCAACTCCCGGGACCTGGCTCTCGCGAGGCCTGCCACTGGCTCCTCCCCCGCTCAGGCGGAGAAAGGTGCGATCCGGCCACCGAAACCTCGACCCGGAAGCCGCCACGGCCGCTGCGCGGTCAGCGCTGCCCTGTCCGCTGAGGAAGTCCGAGCTGCTCCGGGTCCTGGGCCCAGCGTGTCCTCCTTCCTCGGTTGCCACTGCCTCATGGGTCCCCGTGAAGACGGCAGGGACCAGACCCAGGGGCAGGCATCCCGAGTGGGGCCGCAGCGCTCCGGGGGCCTCCGCGGCGGCGTCGCCGTGTTCGCCGCTGTGGCCGCCGTGTTCACCCTCACGCTGCCCCCCTCGGTGCCGGGGGGAGACTCGGGTAAAGTACTCTGAGGGTCGTACCTCCCGCCCCTCTCCTGGTCTGGCCCCCACTGTTGGCGTTAAGGTTGGTCAGGTCGGGCCCTGCAGCCAGCCGCATGGGCCCAGCGCAGGGTTTTGCGATCCGGTAACAGCCTCTTAGTTCCCAGGCTTTATAGACCGGGCTTAACGGCTTCTCCACTTCCCCAGATCTCTTTTCTGGTTCAGAGTTTTTATTTTCCAATTGTTAGTAGTCCGTAGATGTTACTTACCTAGTTTTTATTGTGTATGTGACAAAAGCAGTAACCGTAGTGGTGAAAAAAAAAATATCCTGGAGCCTTTTCGGCTAAAACAATACACAAGTTACTGAATGAACAGCTACGTATTAAGGGGTGATACATTATGGAGACAAAAGAGGGAAATGTGATTGAGAAGGGTCCCTCAGAATGGCTAATCATAAAAGGACTCTGAGGACGTGAAATTTTAGTAGAAACCTGAATACTGAGAAGAATCAACCATGCAGAATATTTGGAGAAGAATCCTTTATAAAGTCGAAAACGTGGCTTGAAGCAAGCTACTTCTATATATATAGATAGATAGGTATAGATATAGATTTTTTTTTTTTAAGCATGACTTGGGCCATTTAAATCACCTGCTTAAAATTATTCTGCATTTTAGATGAGAAACAAGATCCAGGTTTTGGTTTTGTTTTGCTGCCAAATTAAGTGGTCATCCAATAATGCCTTGTAAGTGGCAGTAAGTTTGTCAGAACTATGCTGTAACATCAGGTGGTGACTCTGGACTTAGAAACAGTGTACTAGTTGTCTTTTCCTGCTGTCCCCCCAATTATGCTGGTTTAAACAGCAGACGTTTATCATCTCCCAGTTTCTGTAGATTAGGAATCTGGGTGCAGTTTAGCCAAATGCTCTTACTCAGGACAAAGTTGCTGTCATGATGTAGTCCTCTCAAGGTTCAGTTTGGGGAGAATCTGCTGCTGAAGTCAGTCCAGTTCTTTGCCACGTGGATCTCTCCATAGGATACCTGACTTCTGTCAAGAGAATGAGCACCTTTCTGTCTGACACCTCTGTCATTTTGTAACTTAATCTTGAAAGTGATAGACCACTGTCCTATTTTACTCATGGAAGTTAGTCAATAAATCCAGCCCACATTCAAGGGGGAAAGGATTACACAAATGAGAACCAGGAGTTGGGGATTATTGGGGGCTGTCCTCAAAGCTGCTGCTGTTCTATTTTCAAGTCATTACCTTTCTTTCAGATTTTATTGAACAAAAATAGTAATGTTGAATTGGTATAGTAGGGACTGCAGTTACATATTTCCAGGATTTATATTAAATCATAGAAATAACTTTATAGTTGTGAGAGTTTGGAGAGCGTTGTTCATAAGTAGTTCAGTTAGCTGATTTAAAAAAAAAAAGATTGACACCTACTTAAAGTTGTTTTAAACCTAAAGTGTGGAGATGGGATGAATAACGGTAAATAACATTTATGGAGTACTTAACTGTGCCAGGGCTTGTTACAAGTGCCTTACGTGCTTTGTTTCCACCTCTCGGCTACCGTATGAGGTAGGTACTACTATTCCTTTTATAGGTGAGAAACTAAGTCTAAGCTATGTCCAAGGTCACACAGTTAGTAAGAATATTCAGGGAAAACTGCAAGTAGATTGACTTTAGAATATGCTCTTTTAACCTCTATTCTTTGTTAATGAATTTTATGAAATTTATGCATGGGCTCAGATTTAAGCCAGGCTTGTCCCCCTGGGCCTTTCCTAGTGCCCGCTGCTAAAGCAAATTGACCCCAAACCATTGTCCCCTCTCTGGGTTTGGGCTCCTGGCACTGAAGTGGGTTGCATAGTGGGGGGAAAAAATCATGCAATTCTTTGTTAAATCTGCCGTCACATACATAGTGATAAAGTCTATTGAACATCTACTATTCTTGCATTGTCTATTACTACTCTTACTTTTTTCCAAAAGAATAAAGTTAACAATAAAGTTCACACTCAGTTACCAAACTTTTTAGTTGTTCTGATTTCTTCAGTTTGATACTAAGTAATAAATGCTTCAAATATTTTTATGTTCATCTTGGGAGCGATAAATAAACTGTTTTCCAAGTATATGTCTGTACAGAAGATTTATTTAATCATATCTTTAATCATTTTGTTTATGTTGAATGTACTGTTTTCCTTGAATGTTTATGAATTATATTTTCTATCAATAAACAGAAGGCATCTCAAAACCACTATAAAGCATGTATTCTTCTTCCCAGTAAATCTTTAATTATACTCCATAAATTTATCACATTGTATGGCTTTGCCAATACTTTTTGCACCACTTGACATGCACAGTTCAAGGAGTGAACACAGTACTACCCAGTGTACAGGAGTGCTCATGGTCCTTTGTGGGGGAGAGGGCAGTCCTTCACTAAATTAGCTTGTATATGTGTGTTTATATACTGTCTTTAATAGTTTTGATATATGGCAGTACAGAATTCTTCAAAAGGTTTGTGGAAAATGCATGTTAGGAAAACACCATACCTTTTTTTTAAAAAAAAATGACGCCAAAAACTTGTACTTTAATTCATCTTTCTATGAACCTTTTGAAGTCCCCTTGTGTAGTATACTTAATATAAAGAACGTATAAGGAAGCTAGTTTTGTAAAAGTGAAGCACCTGCTGACAACTCATTGCTACCAGTTTGCATCCCAGACAAGACTATGTGGTTCTCAAGCTTGAATATACTTCAGAATTGCCTGGGAAACTCGGGCCCCCATGTCAGAGGCTATTACCAGATTTGAAACGTGTAAAAGAGATCTTACTTTTTTTAAAAAAGCACCTAGGTATTCTGATGCAGATAGTCCTAGCATTTAACTTTGGGGAACCGCTCCTGTAAAAGGTTGGAGAAAAGCTAGGACTTGGGAGGTTTTGATTGTTTTACTCTTCACTACCTCTATTCTTCACACTCAATTTAAGAGTAATATTTCCCATTAGTTCTTTATCAAAGACAGACTGTGAGGCTTTGAATAGTTGCATCTTTTCAATTTAGATTGTAGTTTTAACAGGTCATGGTGTTGATGGAAGTTGTCACATTACAGATTTATCGTTATAGAAGCAGAACTCCAGCAAAGAAGAACAACATTGACTTATTAATGATAAAAATAAATTAGGGAAAGCAGGATATTTTTCTTTAGTATAATTGTAAATACATTTTGTAACCCTGAAATTCGAACTTACATGCTTCATCACACAAGAAGGAAAAATTTATTAAAATTTATTGGGACTGAAAATAGACAGAGATAAAACTACAAAATGTCCTTGGCAGTTTACACAGAAAACAGTTCTAAACATTTTTAGACCATAAACAATAGTCTATTTAGGATATAAAAAGTATCTGGTTTTTAAGGTGCTCATCAGTTTTTCCAGAAAGAAAAAAAAAAAAAGTTCTGAAGTAGTGACTTCAGTGAGCAATAGTTCTTTGGGTACCCACTTAGGGCTCCCATGATGTGTAAAGTCATTCTCATGAGATGGAGTTCTCTGAGTAGCAAAGATGGCAATGTGATAAAAGCCTTTTTGCCAATCTCTACATGCAGGGCGAGACTTAGATTCTTTGCGTGTGACCAGAGAGGGAGGCGGTGGTATCTTGTTAAGATCCTGAAATGGGATAGGATGATGTTTTTAAACGTCGTAGGAGAGAGAAGTGAAAACAACTAGCCAGAATGTGAGGCAACCTAAGTAAGTGCTAAATAGACTCAGGCAGCTTCTATGGAGGAGCAAGAAGTGATTAATTCTGATGGAGTTGGGAGGGGGCGTGTAAGGAAAGGTGTCACTGAAGGTGGCAATTGAACTAGACTTTGAAGGATTTAGGAGAGAGTGCTGGGGAAAATATTCCAGGGTGAGAAAATGAGCGAGAAGAGGTGAAAAAGAGGACCACTCCAGAGGAACAGTGGGTAATCAGATTTGACTAAAGTGAGCATAGGTTTCATGGGCATAAGCCTAACATAGGGACTTGGATGTCATGGACGGTCTGAATGGCATGCAGAGCAATCTAAGCTTCATTCAGTAAGCAGAGTGGCCATTGAGAGATTTTAGGCTAGGGATACAGTCCAGCTTTTTGTCTTTTTGTTGGAAGAGAAGTGGAATAGGTAAAGTAGTAGGATTTCAGTGTGAACATGGATTGAGTATCAGTCAAGACTTGCTATAGTGGGGCCAGTAGTTAGCGTAATGGCTAAGTCGCTGGACTCCCATGTAGTCGACTGTGGTTCGCGTCCCAGACCTGGTGGCTTAAAACTCACACCGGGCGTATGTGCGTGCGTGCCCAAGATCCCGAGAGAATAGAGAAGGGATTGTGGCGTGGCCATCCCGCCTGGGGGGTGATTTCTCGCTTTCTGTCTCTCTGTCTCTCTCTGTCTGGTGAGTGCATGCACCCTATAGCAAAAACCTCTCCAAAAAAAAAAAAAAGACTTGCTATAGTCCAGGCCAGAGAGAGTAAAGGTCTATATGTGTCTGGGGCCACAGACTATTACTGTCTATTGAAGGATAGAAAATGAGCAGTAGTTTTCCTAACAGGTAATAGTAAATCACAGATCTTCGATACTGATTGATTTCTTACATTGTAACTACTACCACAGTGTACAGGGATAAGTCAGAAATAGTCCTTGTACTCTGAATACTTAAAACATGAACAAATAGGCATTGAATTAGTGCATCATAATTTCAGAAATAATCACTAATGGTGAGGAACAGCTATAGACTATAAGGAATGTTGTGACTTAATGGTTTGAAAAAAATAAAAGAGGGTCTTCAAAATGCTCGTGGAAAATGGCCAATGCTGTCTTGGTGGTAAAATATGATGAGTCTCTGTGAAGCCATGCCACACAGAAAGGGTGTTGTTCAAGTCTGGAGACCTCCCTGAGTATGTTGACACGTGTGCCCATGCGCCAGGGCTGGCTGAAGGCTGGGGGTGGATCACAGCATCAAGGCCGTAGTGATGGTGCTGTCTATTGCTAATGGACAAAATAAATTTTAAAAGTTTGTGGAAAATGCATATTATGAAAAAAACCCTGCATGAATTAAACTTTGCACCAAAATAAATTCATAATGTAATTCCATTTTTCCACAAACTTTTTGAAGTCTCTTCATATAATGGTAGGACTTACTAGAAGAACCTGGGGTCAGTGTAAGACTTGGAAACTGTTTACAGATTTCTAACCTAAATAAACTAGAGACATGTTAGGGTAGTGTGGCACATTTTATGGGCTGTCCAAATCTCATATGTCTGCACATTTTACATATCATAAAATGAATCTTTACAGATTATGTTAAATTTTCAAGGGCTGATACAACATATTACATTAATGCTCTGTGACAGTGTTTGTATATTTGCAAGTAAATACAAATTTCTGGATGGAAAATAAGTATTTTTTTAAAAAACCATAATTCACCTATATTTTCACTGACCAGTTATTAAAAACTATCAGATAGTTTGTTCAATAAGATCTAAGGGAGAAAATATTCTTAGACTATTTCATGCTGTTAAATCTCTACAGATTTACAGTTTTATCCAGTCAAATTAATGCAAAACCCCAATGCAAGCATTTGGATTTTGAAAACTTTGGAGGAGTGTCATTTTCTAATAGTAATTATTGGTTTTACATTATTTTTTCACAGGGGAACTGATCACAGCCGCACATGAGCTTGGAGTAAGTATTAGTTTTATTGTTTAATCAATGCTCTCATTAACAGTTTTAGGAATTAAGAAAGTTTAATTAAGCATGGAGTAAAGTAGATTAATTTATTTTCAAACCCCAGTTTTTAGTAACTTATAAGTACAGTACGTGACAATTTACTTTAAGTTTTAAATCCAATTAAACTAAATTATAAAGCAAAGCCTTTACTATATATACAGTAGCTGGCTTATTATCACCCCAAATTTTGTATAAGCTGTGGAGAATAAAGTAAATCGGGTTAACAGTTTTAATAAGTTTATTATTTAATAAACTTTATTATGGTGCATGATCCCTTTAGGCAAGACCTTACGACTGTCAGCATGGTGGTAATCCGATAGCAGTGTGGTCTTTCAACTTTCTAACCAATACGATATTTCAGAACCTGCTTTTATTCAATAGCCTTTTAAATGACCCTAATGTACTGTGAACCCAGAGAACAAACTGCTTAAGAACTGACAATGAAATATGTCACCCTTTCTCTAGGTGACGCACCATGTGATAGACACTGCCAAATCCACTAAAGAAAATATTTATTTGTATTGGCACAAGAGGATTACAATAGAAAACCACTATTCAAACATTTAGTCATTGGCGGGTAATCTTTATACTTGTCTAAGAGCGGGACTACTTTTCATTGAAAGCCACTGTGACTCTTCCTTCCCTAGATGAAAATCTTCTAACTGTTGCAAATGTTTTCCGTAGGTTGCCCATCCTCCTGGCTATCCTTTGTTCACGCTAGTGGCTAAACTGGCAATTATTCTATTTCCTTTTGGTTCCATTGCTTACCGAGTCAATCTTCTGTGTGGCTTATTTGGAGCAGTAGCTGCATCCTTACTTTTTTTCACCGTTTTCAGGTAAAGTAGTTCATTAGCTAAAATTGTTGAGTAATTGGAGATATGGTTTTCTTATGGCCAGGTTAAACATTAAAAAAAATAAAAATCTTCTGTTCCTTGAACAATATCCCTAACTCATATGATTTCACTTTCTTAGCTTACAGTAATTTCATATGTATCTGACCCCTCAAATGATTACACAGTTGGTTCTGCTTCATACAAGGGAGTGAAGGTGTCACGAGTTCATTATCACAGTTCTCTGTTTAGGCAGAACTAATGAGGTTTGTCGTTTTAGGAAGATGCAGATGGGCTAGTTTAATTCAACATTTTGAAGTTCCTAAATGGTAAATATTATTTTTAGTTACTCACACTATTGCTGATGGGCAGCTGCCTATCAGGTCCAGAGCTAATGTCTGAATTGTATTCTAAATATGAACATGTTATATACTTTAAAAGTAAGGCTGTTCGCTAAGGAAATCACATTTGGGGCGTGGTTCAAGTACAATTTCACATTGTTCTGCTGTGGCTGTAGGAAAGCAGGCAAAGGAGACTCCACTTATTTTGCTGATGGAAGGCTTTCTTAGTTTGGAAGACTACCTTCAAAAAATGGCAGTTAGTTTAGGATATTAGTAAACTCATTTGTCTTTGACGTCTCCTTTATTAACTCAGACTGACCTCTCTCTAAGGATGATAGTGAAAAACAAAATACACTTCTTGTAAAGAGAAACATCAGATTAAAACACTTTTCCAAAAGCTTTTTCAAGTTTTATTTTTTTAAAATAATCTTTCTATATAAATATAGGGTAATTTGAATAGACAATTACAAATATCATTTTTGGAGACTAGTATTTTATGATAGTCACATTATTAATTATTTATAGAAAGGTAAAATTTAGCATAATTATAACTGAAGTTTACATTAAAATCTATTTGTGGAACCCTTTTAGATTTAAATATTATTGAACATTGACTGAATTTTATCTATATTATTTATTATGCATCTATTTAGTCTTACATGTTTTACTGACAGTCACATCTTTTAAAAATGAGATGTATAAAATAACATATGTTTGGATTAATTAATGTTGTGAATTTTTTCCCTAAATAGTTCAAATAATTTTTATTAGAATTATTTCTTCTTAATCTTTTATAATTAAGAATCTGTTAGTAGCTCCATTGAAAGAAAAACTGGTCTTTAAAAAAAAACAAACTAGGTTGAAATTTGGCACTTACCTGTCATATATTGAATATATGGGTTATTAGTTTTCACAAGACATTAAAAACAGCATTTAAAGAAACTGAAATACATTTTGATAGTTAATCTGTGCTTTAGAAAATAATTTATATAGCATATATGTTTATTTAAAGGTTAGGTAGATATATATTTAGCTCTTAAGCAAGTAAGGTGATTCATTTTGCCATTCCACAAGAGAACCACTATAAAAATCATATTAAAAAATCTTTTTAGAATCCAAATAACTTCAGACTGTAATTTTCTTTTTTGAGTTATTCACATTTAAAAATAGCTTTTATTAGAAATTATCCTTGATTATACAGGTTTTAGATTAGCACACTAGCCTATGACCCTTTTTTTTTAATATACAGTGTTAATAATAAATTTTTATACTTGGTGATGTATGTTTTAAATCAGAATTCTTAATATGATTAAGCTGGGTATTTGAGTGGTTTTAGCAGTCTTGTAGTACTTTGGAAAAGTTGCTTTCCTTCAGAAAAAGGATCAAACAATATTATCTCTCATATACACTTTAATATGAAAATACTTCATTATTTTGAATACAAATAATTGACAAGGTACACGTCCTTTGGGAACAACCTAGTTCAAGTGGCAAATCTGTTTTGTCAAACAATAGACACCCTTCAGAAAGGAGAAGCCATCTCTATGGTAATAGGACTAACAGTAGCCTATTGATTGAGTGGAAGAAGACATTATACAATGTCAGCTGGCTTGTTACAATTTCATTTGTTGTATGACCTGAACTTAACCTTTAAAACCTTTCTTCTGTGAATATAAACCCAGCAGCAGGACACAGTTTTCCTACGGCCATTACAGTGACGGCTTTTTCCAGTCCCAGCATACAGTAAACGTATTCCTGTACAGGTGGACTCCTTTATCAGAATTTGTTTAGGAGACATTTTACTACTTTATTCATTTACAGACTGAATCATCATTCCATTTCATTGTTGAATATTGAAGGGTTTTGATCCAGGAAACAGTTTTATTCTTCCTTTCCCCTCATCTCTTAAGAGAACATTACTGTACATGTAGGATTAGTGCTGACTGGTGTGCAGTAAATTAATTCTTTTAACAGGTTTAGGGTTTTTTTCAGGTAATTGTTCACATAGCATTCACTATATTTAGCTCTTGGGGTGGACATAAAGACCTTCTGTACCTTTTAAACAAAGATTGTATTTCAAAAGCAAATTTCTGTTTAAATGTGTTGATGTAAAAAGCTCTATTTTTTTTAGTAAACATGACTTCGATTGAAAGAACAATTTATTCGTTGTTTCCAATTACTATGTAATTTTTGCTTTTCTTGCATCTTTCTCTTGCTTTTAAAAGCTGTAAGATGTCATTAACACTGCATTTTTTGTCAATCTTTCCTAATGGTTGGCAAGAACTCATTTATATTTGCTTCAGTCTAATGTAAAAAGCACATGAGTAAGACAGCACATTGAAAGCTGTATGTGTCACTGTGGCTTATTGAAATAAAAATAGTAAGCTTGTGACAGTATTTCTGTATGCATTTATTTATGTATTGTCCTCTTCAGGGGCATTTTTAAGTGAGCATTTGTTAGAGGAATTTAATCTAATACATTTCATTTATATGAAATAGTATTTATTTTATTCATGTGTACTTCTGTGTATTTAGGACTATGTAATTCAACTAGTGTTTTATAGGGACTGAATTTTCTATTTTAAGGCAATTGAAGTAAATAATTTTTGACTTTGGTATGTGATACTTAGTGTCCTTTTCTATTTGAAACCCACAAATCTATTCATATAAAATTTAAGTTATAGGTAATGTAAATCACTAATGTGAATACCATATGTAGCATTGCTTTATCCTTGAATTTTGAAACTATTTTCTAGTTCTTATATATTGAATTAAGAAGGAAGATTGAAGTCACTATCATTAAACATTTACATTTTTGTATTTCATAGGTTCTGGTATCACCGAAAGAGTAGGGAATATGTCAATAGCATTGTATAAAAATTCTTCACCTCAGGGAACATTTAAATTGCTTATGATCTCAGATGAAGGCATATCTTGTATTGTTTATTTTGGTAGTTACAGGATAGGGAATATATTCACAACAGGCTTGAGAGTCAGCATATCCTCTTTAAACTATTATAGGCCAAACATACCTGCAGAAAAATTCATTCAGCAGTGTTTGTTGATCACACGTGTGAATTGAAAGTAAAACTCCTTTAGTTTTTAAAGTCAAAATTCAGTGCTTATTTTAAAGAAAGTAAGACAAAGTAAGCATTAAGCAATTTTCAAATATTTTTTCTTTTAAAAAAAGGAATATTTCACATTTTTAGGAAATTTTCCTGAAGAGACTTTCTTATGCTGTTAACAGTACAGTAAGAAATAAGATCTCTGAATGTCCAGCAGGTTACCTAGATTATATGAATATAAATAATAATTTCAGGTATACTGATACTATGCCTGTTCACTGCAAAGAACTTATGATCCATTTCAGTAATATTTCAATATCTTCTAGCAGATTGCTTTGTGCCAGTAGTATTTTATTCATGGGATTTTGTAATTTTTATAATTCACATATTTCTAAATATTATGTTACTCCTAAAAATTAATTTGATTAAACTTTTGGAAAGTGAATACTTGATTCTGAGCACCGGGTCTGCTATTCTTACAGCTTCAGTTAAGATTCCATTCAAAAAGAATAGAAAATTAAAATGCCATACCTTAGAGAATGCAGAATCTCCTGCTTAAGGGACATTTGGATTTTCCAGCTCAAAGAGTATTTTAGATTATTGCCATAGAGAATAATGCGAAGCTCTTCCTAATTTCAGAAGTAACTATGCATAAGTAACAAATAGTCCCCAAGTTTTTGTAGTTGAAGAAGAATGGAAAGTACTGGAGCATTAATTTCCATTCAGAAGAATATCTGTCTTGATCCCTGGTTAATTGATCATATATTTCTCTCGTACTTGTATTAAAATTGCATTGACTCAGACTGGTTAAGCATATTAAGAGCTTGGTTCATTTGCATTTTCTTATAAGTAGAGGGACATATTAGGCTCAAATAGCACTTCATTTTGAAGGGGAAAAAGCAGGGCAAAAACTCTTTTTTAAGACTGTAGAGTCTTTTCTGACAGCTAGTCAGAGTTAGAATTAGTTCAAGGAAATGTTAATAATGCACTGCCTGGCCTAATCCCTTTGATATCACCAGGTATCCTCCTGTTCATGGGTTAATTGCTTTAAAAGCGAAGGCAATATTCTGAGCGGTGGGCCGCTTCACCTTTTCACAGCTGTTACCATTGAGTGACAACTAAATCCCATGTGTAAGATGAGGAAGAGCTCAATCTCCAATTGGGAGAAAATTTATGTAAACCGCAATCCCTTCAGAATGTGCGGAAGTCATAGACTTTCTTGATTTACTCTGCTTTTCCCAGAAAGCTCTATTGTTCACTTTCCTAAGTCCCATCAACCCTTTGTAGCAGAATATCACAGCGGCAGCAGATAGCTTGAAATATATAAATGCTATCATAGCTCTGATTAATAGCAGTGCTTATGAGTCAAGTCTGATAACAGTGCAGCTCTCCACTCAATTTCAGATACTGCTAATGGAATCTGTCTTCTCCAATTGTAATATGAGAAGGCCTAATTTGCCATGGAGCTTGGAGCTGTCACCAGTAGGGGATTGTGGGGTCAGATGGGAGCTGCCAGGTTTTTGCCCTGCAGCTTGTATCTCTCACTTTGAATAGAGCAGCCCCCTGCCTGCCAGTTAGCTGATAGGCCGCCGTGGGGTTT